TTTTTTTTTTTTTTTTTAATAAGGGGCGGATATAAGAAGTGTTTTTCTTCTTTCTGCACTCTTTTCATTCAATGTTTTCTTTTTGATGAATTTGTTTTGTTCATTTCATTTCTTTTAAATGAATGAATAAATTAATAAAATAAAAAATTAAATGGCTTTAAACATCTGCTAAGTTCATGGCATAAACCAACACAAACATGTTCTTCTTTTTAGAATTTTACATCGGTTTATAATGTAACAGTTTTTGTTTAGTTTTTTTTAAATATAATTTTCTTGTAATTTTCAAATCATATGTTTTTTTATGATTGTCTACTGTTGTACTGATAAATATCTCCTGGAGGGTAAACTAGATCTTGGCTGCAAGTATCAAGCTGAGAAATCCTTCGTTTTCTACAACTGATAGCGGTTGGTTATTAATCATGATGAAGTTTAACAACTTCTCTGTAAACATTTGAGCTTCGTGGCTTCAGTGGTGTGTTGTTCTTGTTCAGTCTGGGGCGGGCGGTCTGATTTCGGTCAGCCGCGCTCAGTCTGTCCCTCCTCAGAGACGGGCAGACTGAGCGGGGCAGACTGGGCTCGGCTGGCCGGGATCGGGCTGCCTGCTACGGGTTCAGCAAGAGTAGTTCAAACTAGTTCAAACCATCTCAGTGTGTCCTCTTTAACTGTATCTCCCAGTTGTTCAACGTGTGCTGTACCTCTGATGATCTCATTCTTAACCTTATCCATCCTTGTCTCTCCTAAGGAGAACCTCAGCATCTTCATTTCTGCCACTTCCAGTTCTTTCTCCTGTCTTTTTGTCCATGTCTCTGTCTACAACATACAACCTAGCTGGTCTCACCACTGTCTTGTAAACTTTTCCTTTGACATTTACTGACACACTTTTGTCACAAATCACTCCTGAAACTTTTCTCCATCCACTCCATCCTGCCTGGACTCTCTTTTTCACCTCTTTACCACACTCCCCATTTTCCTGGACAGTGGAGTCCAAGTACTTGAAGTTCTGCACCTTTGTGACCTCTGCTCCTTGTTTTCTCACTGTTCCACCTCCTCCCTCTCATTTACACACATGTACTCTGTCTTACTACGGCTGACTTTCATTCTTCTTCTTTCAAGTGCATACCTCCACGTCTCCAAGTTCTCTTCCATCTGTTCCCTGTTCTCACCAAAGATCACAATGTCATCTGCAAACATCATAGTCCACGGAGATTCCTGCCTGACCTCTGTTAGTCAGTCCAACACCAGTGCAAACAAAAAGGGTCTCAGAGCTGATCCTTGATGCACTCCCACCTCCACTTTGAAGCTATCTGTCACTCCTACAGCACATCTCACCACTGTTCTGCTGTCCTCATACATGTCTTCTTTTTTTTCATTCATTCAACCTTTATTAATACAGGCCGGTCTCATTGAGCCATGAGGACTCATTCACATGGGGTCACCACAGTGAGTGAACTCGCATTAAATAATAAACTATGATGCTGTGCAGCTAGAAGGATTTTTACTGAACTTTTTTAGTTTAAGACATTTGTTATGATGTGTAACCATGGCAACAAAGCAGTTTTCTACAACCAACAGCAGCTGATTAACATCTCAAAAGCTCAAATAATATCTCAACTACAGCCCCAAATCTCAAATGAGTTGAAAGGATGTTCTGTGGATGCATTCTCATCTACCTGCCAGCTGTGCCTGACCACTGAGATCCTGGAACTAGCAGGAAACACGGCTCATGACAGCAGAAGGACAGGATCGTCCCTCGGCACCTACAGTTGGCTGTCCGCAGCAACAAGGAGTTCGGCAGACTGCTGGGAGGAGTGGCCATCACTCTGGGAGGAGTTCTGCCCGACATTCGGGTGGTCCTACAGCCCAGGGGAACCGAGAGACCAGCTGAGTCTGGGTGGACGGATCGGACGGCATCTGCAGCCAGTTACTTAGGATCCACTGTGGGATGGACCTTTACAAGAGATCCTTCCTGTCTACAGCATCAGCATCTATAACATCTCTTAATGAAATGAGGATAACGAGTTACAACAACAAATAATTTCCCTCTGGGATTAATAAAGTATTTTTGAATTGAATTTGAATTAAACACAAGAACATATTTGCCTTAATTTTTGCCTTGCCTTTGTCCTGTACCAGTCTAACATACTTCTCTGCCACTCCAGATTTCCTCATACAACACCACACCTCCTCCCTCGGCACCCTGTCAGATGCTTTTTCTAAATCCACAAAGACACAATGGAGTTCTTTCTGACCCTCTCTGTACTTTTCCATCAGCATTCTCAAAGCAAAGATGGCATCTGTGGTGCTCTTTCTTGGCATGAAACCATACTGCTGCTCACAGATAGTCACCTCTCATCTAAATCTAGCTTCCAAAACTCTCTCCCAGATCTTCCATGAGTGACTCATCAACTTAATTCTACTGTAGTTGCTACAACTCTGTACATCACCCTTGTTCTTAAAAATGGGCACCAGTACACTTCTTCTCCATTCCTCAGGTATTTTCTCACCCTCAAATATGCCATTTAACATTTGAGTCAAAAACCTCACTGTCATCTCTCCAAGATATTTCCAAACCTCCACTAGTATGTGATCAGGTCCTACTGCCTTCCCCTTCTTCATTATTTTCAGAGCTCTCCGGACTTCACCCTTACTAATCTTTCCCACTTCCTTGTCCACAGTTTTTATGACCTCTACTCTTTTTTTTCTTTCATTCTCTTCATTCATTAGCTCCTCAAAGTATTCCTTCCATCTTCCAGTCACACTTTCCTCACTTGTTAGAATATTACCATGTCTAACCTGCTGCACATCCTTTCCAGCCTGATCCCTCTGTCTCACCAATCGGTACACGTCCTCCTTGCCCTCTTTAGTGTCCAGCCTCCCATACAACTCATCGTACGCCCTCTGCTTTGCCTTAGCTACCTCCCTCTTTGCTCTACATTGCATCTCCTTATATTCCTGTCTCCTCTCTTCAGTCCTCTCACTTTCATATTTCTTCTTGGCTAACCTCTTTCTTTGAACGGCATCCTGCACTTCACTCTTCCACCACCAGGTTTCCTTATTTTCCATTCTATGTCCAGATGACACACCAAGTATCTTCCTACCTGTCTCTCTAATTACTGTTGCTGTGGTAACCCAGTCATCTGGAAGCTCTTTCTTACCATCCAGAGCCTTCAACAGCTCCTCTCTGAATTTCTCACAACATTCTTCCTTCTTCAGCTTCCACCATTTGGTCTTCTTCTCTGATTTTACTATTTTTCTCTTCTTCACAACAACAGTCATTATACACACAACCATCCGATGCTGTCTGGCCACAACCTTAAAGTCTCCAATCTCCCTCAGGTTTCCTCTTTTACACATAATGTAATCGACCTGCGTACTCCTTCCTCCACTCTTATAGGTCACTCTATGGTCCTCCCTCTTTTAGAAATAGTTATTGACTATAGCCATTTCCATTCTCTTGGCAAAATCCACCACCATCTGTCCTTCTTGGTTCCTTTCCTTGACACCAAACCTACCCATCACTTCCTCATTCTCTGTTTCCTTCACCAACATGTCCATTCAGGTCTGCTCCCATCACCACTCTCTCCTCCCTGGGAATACTCTCCATCACTTCATTCAGATCCTCCCAAAATGTATTTTTCTCCTCCACATCACATCCAACCTGTGGAGCATAACCACTGACAACATTTAGCATCAGACCTTCTATTTCTACCTTCAGACACATCACCCTATCTGACACTCTTTTCACCTCTACTACATTTTTTGCCCACTCCTCCTTCAGGACCACCCCTACTCCATTTCTCTTTCTATTCACACCAGGGTAAAACAGTTTGAACCCTGCTCCAATGCTACAAGCCTTGATGCCCTTTCACTTGGTCTCTTGGACACACAAAACATCTACCTTCCTTCTCTGCATCATGTCAGCCAGCTCTCTACCTTTGCCTGTCATTGTTCCCACATTTAGAGTTTCAACCCTCAGTTCTTGACTTTCTTCTTCTCCCTCTGTTTCCTGACACGTTTCCCTCCTCATGGTCTTCGTACACATCTATGTATATATGTAGCGTCTCCTGAAATCTGACCTTGCAAATAACATACCTGTTATTAACATACCTGTTAAAAATCTTCTCCTTCCATCGAGCATGGTTCTTCTGGGTAAACTACAGTAGTGAGAGAGATTTTCTCCAACAGTAACGCACTTATTTTTAAGTTTCCAGCTCACAACACTCATAGACGGATACAGGGTATTTCCAGTTACACCTTTTCGCTCAGCGACAGTGGACAACATAGCTGTTCTGTTAAGGACTCAAGGGTTTATTCCAAAACATTAGTGATCAAATGGCATCATGAAGACAAAGGAACATACCAGAAAAGTCGGGGATAGTTGCTGGTTGGTGTTGGCTAAAGAGTTATACTGTAAATACTTTTTGAATATACTTTATATTTGGAACATTTTTTTGTAGTTACTAAATCTTTCCAGCAGGGGGCAAAAATTAGTGCTGGATTCAACAAACATGAACAGGAATGATGGGACAAGATCTAGCAGCTAGTTGAAAACACCGCCCTTCATGTTAAAGATCTGCTCTGTGTGGAGATAATAATCTGATGGATGGATGATGCAACATCACAGCAGAAGTTTGTTGTTTTGTCCCTAAAACATAAATCGTGTTGGGATGCCTTTAGAAGTTATCACATTTACTGGCTGATGAATCATCTGTTGCGTTGACAGTCTCCTCCATAAGATTTTTGGATGGAACCACTTCATTGCACTTTCAGCTAGTCATATAGCAAAATGTTCACCTTATTTGGGACTTTGTGGTTATGACTTTTTAGTTTTTGTAACTTTTACACTACAGGCTCTGTCTCCTTGAAGTGAATGATAAACTCTTCAAAACCTTTAAAAACTGCCTTTTAGCTGATGTTTTGTTCACTTTTGTTTATGCTACTGGTTTTAGCTTTTAATAATTGCTTTGCTAATTTTAGCTATCTGCTTTTGTTTAGCTTTTAACTTTAGTAAATTTTAGTTTTAGCTTTTGTTTAGCTCCTTTTAACTTTAGGTTATTTTGCTGGTTTTAGGTTTTAGAATTTTTTTTTTTTTTTTTTTTCCTTTGGCTGCTCCCTTCTTCAGGGGTCCACAGTGAGTGAACTCGCATTAAAATTTGACAAAATGTTTTACGCCGGAGGTCCTTCTTGACCCAACCACAGATCACTGAGCTACCACAGCCCTCTGTGTGGAGCAGAGGGCTACCATCCCAAGGTGCCTGGCTTTTAGCTACTAATTTACTAAATCTAGGGTTTAGCTATTGTTTGGCTGTTTTTACCATTTAGGTACGGGCAACCTGTCAATTGTAGCCTGCCTTTTGCACACTGAGTCAGGAGATAGGCACCAGCTCCCAGCAAGTAGGAAAAGAAAACGAATGGATGGATGGATGGATGGATGGATGGATGGATGGATGGATGGATGGATGGATGGATGGATGGATGGATGGATGGATGGATGGATGGATGGATGGATGGACGGACATTTTAGGTACTATTTTTCTGGGTTTAGCTTTTAGCTAAAGGTATTCAGCAGAGGATTCAGCAGAGGTGTTCAGCAGAGGTGTTCAGCAGAGGATTCTGCAGAGGATTCAGCAGAGGTGTTCAGCAGAGGTGTTAAGCAGAGGTGTTCAGCAGAGGATTCAGCAGAGGTGTTAAGCAGAGGATTCAGCAGAGGTGTTCAGCAGAGGATTCAGCAGAGGTGTTAAGCAGAGTATTCAGCAGAGGTGTTCAGCAGAGTATTCAGCAGAGGATTCAGCAGAGGTGTTCAGCAGAGGTGTTAAGCAGAGGTGTTCAGCAGAGGTGTTAAGCAGAGGTGTTCAGCAGAGGATTCAGCAGAGGTGTTCAGCAGAGGATTCAGCAGAGGTGTTCAGCAGAGGTGTTCAGCAGCTTGCATTCACACTGTGTTTTCAGTGGAGGTGGTCTGCTCTGGTTTTCATTTGATTTCATCAGCAGGTTACAAATAGAATATTGTGTTTGTCTTGGGCAGGTGGACTCCTGGTGTGTTTGATCAGGGTCAGACCTCCAGAGCAGATCCTGTAGGGGGGGCAGCTTCTTCAGCCCAGGAGGGGCTCCTTACAGGCAGCGCAGTGAGGATTGGGCTGTATTTTTGGAAGTGTCTGTGTGCGCGCGCGCGTGTACTTGTCGCCTTGTTAGGTGTGTTGAAGGTTTTCCAACAGGAAGGACCGTCATTTGAGAGCTGGGTGGCAGAGGGGACAGGGGGACAGGGGCGTTTGTCTCGTGCCACCTGGAAAGCCATGTAAGACCTGCGGCTTTTCACATCAGCCCAACTGGTTCTGCATCAACTGGTTTTTATTTGTACCAAGTTGAAGCCTGGATACAGTGGTCTGAGCACGGAACACGCAGAAAGTTCAGCACCTGGGTGGGCTCTCCGGTCCGTTTGGATGCAGGTGGACCTGAGGTCAGAGAGCAGCTCGGTGCTTTAACTGGTTTAACTGGTGAGGTTGGGGCAGCGCTGCGTTATGAGCGGGGGTCGCTTCGAGTTTGATGACGGGGGAGCTTACTGTGGAGGATGGGAGGGGGGCAAAGCCCACGGCCACGGCATCTGCACCGGCCCCAAGGGCCAGGGCGAGTACTCGGGCTCCTGGAACTACGGCTTCGAGGTGGTGGGGGTCTACACGTGGCCCAGCGGCAACACCTACGAGGGCTACTGGGCGCAGGGGAAGCGCCACGGGCTGGGGGTGGAAACCAAAGGACACTGGACTTACAGGGGGGAATGGACCCACGGCTTCAAAGGGAGGTACGGGGTCCGGGTCAGCGTGGGCAGCGGAGCCAAGTACGAGGGCACGTGGAACAACGGCCTGCAGGACGGGTACGGCACAGAGACGTACGCGGATGGAGGTGAGCGCCCTAAAATACCAAGGGAGGGGTACGAACACCAGGAGCTGTTTGTCTTTCGTGGTTCTACAAATTACATTAAATCACTGCTCTATTTTCATCTTGGGGAAATACTGGAAATCTATATTTGAGAAAATCCTATAAATGGTGATTTTATTCTATATTTAAAGGCCTAGCGTTCCTTGCAGGGATGCATATCGCCCGACGAGCGAGCGACAGCTGTTTGTGCCAGATGTGCTGAGGGGGACTCTCAGCTACCACCACACCATCTCTCCGTTCATTGAGTTCTAGTCATGTGTGTTTTCTAAGGTCAGCTGGTTGTCTGGGCCAGCTTGGGTCTAAAGTTAACCACTTCTAGACATAAATGTAATATTTTATGAAAGCTTAATTAATAACGGATTGTGGGTTTATGAGATATTTTGCTAACAGAGATGACTATTAGTTAATTGCAAAATTTTAAACAAAGATTTTGTGTGATATGATGATGCATGTTGGGAATGACTGTAACAATTCAAATTCAAAAATACTTTATTAATCCCAGAGGGAAATTAAATGTTGTTGTAGCTCATTTTCCTTGTTTCATAAAAGAGTTGTTCTAGATGTTGATGGTTGTGGGCGGGAAGGATCTCTTGTGATGGTCCGTCTTATAGTAGATCTGAAGAAACTGGCCACAGATGTTGATCCGTTTACTTGCACTTGGTTGGCCTCCTGGGCTTCAGGATCACCTGAATGTTGGGCAGAACTCCTCCCAGGGCAATGGCCACTCCTCCCAGCAGCTTGTTGAGCTCCTCGTCGCTGCAGACAGCCAACTGTAGGTGCCGAGGGACGATCCCATCCTTCTGCTGTCATGAGCCATGTTTCCTGCTAGTTCCAGGATCTCAGTGGTCAGGCACTTGAGCACAGCTGGCAGGTAGATGAGAATGCGTCCACAGAACATCCTTTTCAACTCATTTGAGATTTAGGGCTGTAGATGAGATATTACTTGAACTTTTGAGATGTTAATCAGCTGCTGTTGGTTGTAGAAACTGCCTTGTTGCCATGGTTACGCATCATAACAAATGTCCAAAACTAAAAAAGTTTCAGTAAAAATCCTTCCAGCTGCACAGCATCCGATACCAGAGGAAACAATCATCCAAAAAATGTGATTTACATCCAGAAAAAGAGGAATTAAAGTTTCCGAAAGCAAAATCTCAGAATGAAAGTAACAGAGCTGCTCCAACATGCAGACACCTGGAGCAATTGCGCCGCTGAGCTAACACTGGCTGAGCTGTTTTTGTTTGTTCAGAGTTGGAGTGGCCATCTTCATTAACTCCAAAAAATGTTATCATTGTTGATGTATATTCAATAATTATTCTTAGCATGTTTTATTGAACTCTGTCTTTTGGTTAATGAGATATTTTGTTAACAGACAAACACACCAACACACACAGACACGAGCAATAAAGTTATGACCTGCCTTTTCTTTTTTCACAAGTGATTAAAGGAGAAGAAAGAATCTCAATAATCTGAAAACTGAATCAAATAGACATAAATGAACAGGCAGTAAATACACTCTTTTACCACTTGATAATTAATAAAACGGGAGAAATATGGATTCATTATTTATGTGTTTATCCCTTGGCAGCTGATAATATTTTATTTTTAGTGTTTGTGTGGGTTTGTCTCATGAAAGAAGATGGATTTTGATTAAACTTTCAAAAAGTATTCGCTGGTGAAGATTCTCAGTCATCCAGGTTTTTAAATTTTTTTTAAATCTTTTATTATTATTATTATTATTCAGTGAATATAATTCTACAAGTAATTTAAACTTTTGGAGTCAACCAGGTTCATGATGTCCGCCTGCTAATGGACGGGTCCCACCCAGATTGGTTGACCCAAGGCCCATGAAGACCTCCAGAAAGGGGCAATCCCATCCAAGTCATGGTCAATCACCTGTGCAAGCTCCTATCAGGCATCACATGGTCAGTACATGGTCAGTACATGGTCAGTATATGGTCAGTACATGGTCACATGATCATTACATGGTCACATGGTCAGTACATGGTCAAATCTTGATCACATGGTCAGTACATGGTCAAATCTTGATCACATGGTCAGTACATGGTCACATGGTCAGTACATGGTCAATTCTTGATCACATGGTCAGTACATGGTCACATGGTCAGTACATGGTCACATGGTTGTAGTGGACTAAGCCTACGTCGAAACCCAGTCTAAGGTCAAAACTC